TCTTCAACAGAAAACGACGTTGTAGTTGTTTGCACGATGATGTAATTTATTACACATTCAATTTGAGCTTTTGCAACTTTTTTGTTATTTTGTCAATTACTTCCTAGCATTATTGTATGTCTTTTTTTTTTTTTTTTTTCCATTTATCAAGTCATATTCACTAGTAATTTAATTACAATATAATACCAACGAAGACTTGACTTCTTGATTTTGAAATACTTAAAAATAATAGACTAAATTTTCGCTTTCTAGGACGGCTGTTTAGCAAATGACAAATTTTTATAAATTATGAACATTTTAGTCTACGATGTAAGAATTTAATTTGCTTAATGAAAAAATATTAGATAATATTTTGAAATTTTATAAACGTTAGAAGATAATCTAATATTTTATCGATCTCAAGGGTTATATACTTGTACAACTTTTAAAAATAAGAACAAAATATAAATGGGGGTATAAAAGGAATATTTGCATAAATCAGACAATAATATTGGAAAAATCACGCCCTATACACATTTAAGAGTCAATTTTACGGGTTTTAAACATACTTTTAAACAATTCTTACTTACAACATTTTATTTACGAGTTATGACATATCATTTAAAGTTAATTTTATTTAAAAATCAATTTCCATTTATTTAATAAATGATTAATCTATTTATGGTTTTTTATTATTAATTAATAATATGTAATTAAATTGATTTATGTTCCTTTTTTAAATCTGAAATTATCAGTTACATAGATATAGGGATTCACCTACAACATGTTTCGTTCTTTACTGTTACCACCTCCCCTACGTCAATCCCACCCTCCTCCAAATCGCCCATACGTCAATCCCACCCCCTCCCCCCACCCTCATCCAATTCTACACGCCATTAACACAGCAACCCACTTTTACCTTCATCTATCACATCTTTCTCACCACCAAACTACACCAACTTCACAATCCTCCATTCAATTTAATTTTTTCAACAAAATCATGTTGAAGAAAACGGTTGTAACTCCTCAAAAGAGCCCTCTATTAGTCGAAGGAACTTATACGGATGAAGTTCATGCTCCATCTTTCAACATTTTGACTCAAACACTGTCGCCAAACATTGTTTGAAACTCTGACTAGGGGTGGTTCATCTCTATTGAAAGATCAAAAACAGAAAGAAAAAAAATGACTCAAATTAAATGGTGAGTCCGATAAATCGAAAGGGAAGAAGAGAAAGGGGAAAAATGTTGAAACCCCTTCTTATTCTAATTCTGATTCTGATTTTGTTACTGAATAAAAAAAGAAAAAAGGAAAAAAATCACTGAATGTTGAAGTTGTGAAAATCAATGAATGTCTATCTTGTAGATGGTTTTGACGACTGAGCAACACCTAAAAAAGACAAAAAAAATTCTTAGGGTAAGTATTATATTCAATTTATTTTCACATTATTAAAACTACTGTTTTTTCTTTAAAAATATCACATTATTCTTATATTATTTTCGAAATAGTTGTTTGGATGAAACGTGTATGAAATCTGATTGATATGTATATGATTCCGATTAAACAGTTGATTCTTGGATATTGTATGATTTGTGATATAATAGTGGTATACAAATGGTATGAATTGTGTTTTAACAGTAGTGTGATTGTCTATTAACTGTATATACAAAGAGTGAGGATGGCGCGATCAGTGAGAGTGAAGTTACTGGTACGGTTGCTAGCAAATTTGGTGGACCTCGCATAGCAAAAGAACATGTTCCGGATACCACCAATTATTCTACACCAAGACCACATACAAGAAATTTGAAATAGTTGATTGCACCTTCTACTTTTTTAGAATTACATGCTATTATTTTTTTTTACTTTTGGACAACTTTTTTGTGTTTAAGTATTTCATGATATATAATACCATATGTTTTCTTCCAATCAGATATCATCTACATATGAATTACTGTTTGGCTATTATAATTTCAGGATACTAGTAATATACAAACTTCATACCATTTGGATTCACTATTTTAAAATATCAGTGTGTATCCAAATTGTACAATTAATGAATGAAATGTGTGTGAAATTTGATTAATATGTGTATGACACTGAATTTAATGTTTGATGGTTGGATATTGTATTAATTGTGATATAATATTGGTATACAAATGATATGCATTGTGTGATTATATGAAATTGATTTATTGTTGGTATAATATGTGTGATATAACTTGAAGTTCGTGTTGGAATGAAACTTGAATAAGATTGGTATAAAGTTTGTTATATATTTACACCATCTTATATATTAATCTGGAATACATTTTATTTCCAAGTATATTAAATCTGTATGAATAATTAATGAATCGCGTATATGAAATCTGGAATCTAAAATCTGTACAAATATTTACACTATCTTATATATTAATCTGGAATAAATTTTATTTCCAAGTATATGAAATCTGTATGAATAATTAATGATTCACGTCTATGAAATCTGGAATCTGAAATCGGAAACATGTACAAATATTTACACTATCTTATATATTAATTTGGAATAAATTTTATTTCCAAGTATATGAAATCGTAAAGAAATCTACATTAGCTTTCTTTTGATCTAAAAAAACCCGCACACCAACATCATTGTGGATACTAACAGGGGTCATCTATCACTAACTATATATTTTATCTCTATATTGTGAATATTCGCATCTATCATTAGCTGCGATGTTATCGCACTTACTAGACCACTATAAAGACTAGAATACTCATATATAATCCCCTCCATTTGAAAACCAACATATTTCCCCGTTTCATTAAAAAAAAAAATAACAATTAGTCTTACATAATACAAAATAAAAATAAAAATTATACACACTTATCATTATTTTTTCATACAAAAATCATTCAGACAGTAAACTACAAACAATTTTCATTAAAAAATAAAATTTCAGATTTCATACCCACTTAAATACAAATTTCATACATACAATCATCATTTATACCAAATTTATACGTTTCTCATACCAAATAGTTCATTCCTTTCACACAAATTTATACATAATTGACAAAACTTATATAAACAATAACATTTCAAATTTCATACCAACTTAAAACATTTTTCATACAATTATTCAAAATTCTAAATAACTTTTTTTACTAACTAGTTAACACACTTTCATATCAACTTAAAACAACTGTCATACAATTTTTCAAAATTCTAAATAACCTTTTTTTCACATTAGTGAATACACTTTCATACCAAATTCATTACACTTATACTAACAAATTCATTCAAAACTATACATTTTAATTTATTTTTTCAGGAAAAAAAAAGTAATCAATATTATAATTTTGATCTACGTACCCAATCTACAAAGATAAAAATATTTATATGTTATACATTTATACTCAAATCTTTCATATATTGCGGCAACTTCTCACGAAATCATTGTTTTGCCAGTATAAAAAATAACCAAAAAACAAAAAATATAGTGACATTAAACCCCTACCAAAAAACAGAAACTTACCAAGAAAATCACTAATATTATATTTTCACAACAACTAATACGTATTATGAACAAAACATATTGTTTATACAAAAAAACATAACACATTCAATATAGTGACGATGTACAAAAACAAAATCACAAAATGTGATTTACAATTTCATTTTTTTTTTTTTCATTTCACTGAAATCCAAATACAAATAGTAAACAATTAAAAATACTAACCTAAAGGATCCCATCTTCCGCCATGTTTAATTAATATTGATACGTAGTTGTCCATCACAAAAAAATAGGATTTTTCAAACAAAAAAAAAACTTCAATTAGTCTCCAGTGACAAAATTTCTGGAAGAAAATTAAAGAGAGAGAAACGTGGAAGAAAAATGGATAAAATCAAATTTTTGAATTAATTTTAACAAAATAGAGTGAATTAAGGAAACTGAATATTCTTAATTAGTTTGAGATTCCTTAATTCATGGTAATTAATAATTATCTTAAATTAATTCAAATTTAAGTGACACCCCTATTTCCGTTTTTTTTCATTTTTTCCTTATTAATTACATGTTATTAATTAATAATAAAAAACCATAAATAGATTAATCATTTATTAAATAAATGGAAATTGATTTTTAAAATCAAAATTTTGAATTAATTTTAACAAATTAGAGTGAATTAAGGAAACTGAATATTCTTAATTAGTTTGGATCCCTTATTTCATGCTAATCATTAATTATCTACAATAAATTCAAATTAATTTACAGCCCACAATTTCAGTTTTTTACTTTATTATTTCTAATTCCGTTTTTTTTTTTAATTTTTGTTTATCTTTTTATTTATTTTAAAAAAAATTTCCAATTAATAAAAACATTTCTTTTTTTTTTAACTTGTTATAACCTGAAATTTTTAATGTTATAACTTGAAAGTCTAAATCTACTGTTATAGCTTGAAAATAGTACTATAATATATGTCATAGATGAAATAACTACAATAATATATGTGCTAGTAGTTTTATCAATTTTCAAAGTGGCTTTTCAACTTCTCAAAAAGCCCATTGGGCCTATGATGAGTTGGGCTTCCATTTGAATGACAATTCAATGTCAACAAACAAGGCTCTATTTTGTTGAGGTTCAAGTTTGCTCATATTACCGATCTTCAGCACGAATAAAAGAGGATACACATGGTAATTGAACAGTATAAAACTAGTCAATTTACGATGAAGCATCACTATACAACATACTTTTTAATGATGTTTTGTCACTATACAACATACTTTGTAATATTGGATCGAAACTGATAAAAAAATGAACCTTATCTCATCTCAACCCCAAAAACGAGCTCTTAAGATAATGATTGTCCAAGACTATATATAGAGACTATACCATTCCTAAATAGCCGATGTAGAAACTCAAGACAAGCTTAACTGACAGTGAGAATCATATAGTCGAAACTCCCAACTTGCTACGGATCGAGGCATAGTTATTATAGTCGGTGCGTGTAAAAAAAATACATTTACGAATAACCGAACCCAACAACTCAAAGAAAGTTTATTTAAATTCTCAAATAACACAAATTACAAACACACACATAAAAACAATGTCAACTTCACAATAAAGTGAAGTGAAACAATTCAAAACAAATTCATGTTAAAATACATGCTTATCTTAAATTAGTCCCAACAATTCTCAACATTCATAACAACATATCCAGTGAAATCCCACAAGTGAAAACTGAAGAGGATAGAGTGTACGCAGATCTTAACATCCACGAGGAACATCAATTTCACATTGCTTAGGCAGATTCATTGCAGCTGCAGGACTGATCCCAAATTTCCCCAACTCAGATTTCTGGTTGCACATACACTGTGTATCAGCCTTGCGTAGAACTGTGCAACAATCCGGTGTCGGTTTCGGAGGTTTCTTGCCCATTACTGCAGGTAAACATATTACAAGTTCATTGATTGGGACCTTGCAAATAGTTTCTGGTATTTCTGCAGCATTTGATGTTACAATTTGTACTGTCATGATCAGTGCAAAAAGCAAAAAGATCATTGTACTGTATGATTTAGCCATTTTGATGATGAATTGTGAAGTGAGAAGGAATTGTTTGTTGTTATATAAGCAATACAAGGGATGGAAAGTGACAAGATTTGGATTTTGTTTATTTAAACTGTAACTCTTGTGAACATAGCATGTGAATTTTAGGTTCACGGACTTTTGATCTTTTTCTACAAAACAGATCATTGGTTATTTAATAATAATGCATTAAGTTAAGTGTGAGAATAAACTTGGATTTTGTTTATTTGAACTGTAACTCTTGTGAACTTAGCATGTGAGTTTTAGGGTCACGGACTTTTGATCTTTTTCTACAAAACAGATCATTGGTTATTTAATAATAATGCATTAAGTTAAGTGTGAGAATAAACTTGAGATTATGCTGCTTCCGGACTTCGGTTAAGAGTGCAACACGTCAGGCAGATATATATACGAGTTTGAATCCTGATATTTAAGTGGAGAAGGGTGGAGGAATGAATCATTATCCTCCGAGTTTCAAACTGTGCGTCACTGACCTTGAGAGTTGCTTGACCACTAGAGGTAATTGACTGAAATAACTTCTCTACTTACGTAAGTAGGAGTTAAAATTGGATTACCATTTTATTTCTATATTAAATTAAAATATTATAAAGTATTTGATTGATTAAAAATTAAATAATAACATATTTATCTTCTCATCTTTTTTTTTTGATAATTTCCTTTTTTGTTTTTTCTTATTTAATTTACATAAATTTAAAAGGTCATAAGCACGCTGTTTATGAAATATTAAAGCACAATTGTGAAACAGTTGCTGGAGAATTGCAAGAGTTAGTTGTAATTATGAAATGTCTTAATATTAAATGTGAATCCATTTTATGTTTTAGGCCAAGAAACTCATTAGCTGCACTATGAAAATTTTAGATGTAGAATAAATACCATGTCATATACTATTTTCAAGAAATTTAAAAGCCTTAATAAATGTTTAACATCTTAATGGGTTCCACGGTTATAACTATATTTAAAGTCAAAAAATCAGTAATTGCACTTCTCATTAAAATTTGCTCCTATTGATCTCTCAACTACGTTTATAGACGAGAGGGAGTTGCTCAGATGGTAAGCATCCCTCACTTCCAACTCGAAGGTTGCGAGTTCGAGTCACCAAGGGAGCAAAAAGGGTGGGAGCTCCTAGGGAGGTTTAAAAAAAAAAACTACGTTAATAAATCGAGAAGATTATAATTCTCATTACACAATAGCATAAGGACATATCAATTACAAATCTTTTGGCTTCTCTCGGCATTTTTCAATTTTAAGTCTCAATACTACATTGATGAATCCAAAAAGACATAATTTTATATTAAATATTATATTTCAAATTAATTATAAGCCTTTTCACCCCTCATATTCTCCTATATATATTTCAATTCTATATGTCTAATTTATGGGCAGCAGAAGTTTAACGTAGGTAGGGTAGAGTAATACTTTTTGTTTTTTTCCTTTTTTGTTTCATGAAACCTTGATTTATTGATTTGATGTCTAACTATATGGATGCTGGAAGTTAAAATTATATAAAGTTGGTACAACTTTTGTTTCCTTTTTATTTATCAATTGGAAATACATTTTTCTTTTTTTAGAAAATACTTGTGTTTCAAATTTTCATTTACGCAATAGATTATATTTTAGATTAGTACATAAGTATGTATATATACAAATCCAAGGTTATAATTTCTTTTATATGTTCCTAACTTTTTTGCAGTATTTAATTCATTTTTCTTTTAATTAGCACGGAAATATGTATATATACAAATTCAAGGTTATCCTTTCTTTTATGTGTTTCTATTTTTTATTTTTTGATATTTAATTTTTGGTTCAATAGTGAAGTAGTAACAATTATATTATTTTCTTTTTCCTTCTAGCAAATTCACAATTTTATCATTTTTTTTAAATATTAGAGTGTCATATTTTTCATGAAGTGCGACAAGATTTTACCATCAATATCTCACAAACGATTATGTTATAATTCATAATACATTTATATTTATACAAATTAACAAATATTGATCATATAAATTAAAAACACAAAATCATTTCGTAAAGTTTAAAATAACAAAAAATTGAAAGAGAATTGTTGTGCACATATTTTAATAATATGCTTCCCAGAATGTTCTGATGATCATTCCACCGTGTGGTAAGTAAATATACATCTAAGTAATAATTTTAAGTTTGATCAAATTAATCAATCAATATGTTGTATGCTATTATTAAAATATGTTTCAAGATTTATTTTTAACTATTATGTAGTGTGACTAGTATGGCGGAGCAGTGTATCGGGCTTCCTCAAGTTGTGAAAGTAAAAAAAATAAAGAGGCTCGCAACTTGCAGTGACATTGGATATGTCAATTACATTCGTATTCGAGATTCATTTCGTCTCGGGTAATAGTCAAGTGTTTCACATATATATTTCTTTATTCATTCATGCATATTTAAATTAATTTATTATTATTTCAAATTTAGATTGGTAGATATTGAGCTTCTCAAGCTCGTTTGGCTTCTCATGAGGGCCGACCCAAATTTGTGTATCAGAGTGGATGAAGCACTTCGACATCCATATTTTGTTGGTTTCACACATGCTGGGTAATACTGTACTATTTACACTGTCAATTTAAGAAATATTTTCAAAAAAAATTTCTAGTTTAATTCAATTTTTGGTGATGTTAATTGATTTTTTTCATTTGTGCAGCATGTTCTGTTACTGCGCTTATTTGACATCTGTTGTGCTTTTGGGTAGCATTTGGTACGGGTTGAAATTTTACCGGAGTAACAAGAAGACATAAAAGAAGAAATAAAACAAGAAGAGAAAAAACAAGAAGCACGCCATCTTAGCCATGTCTTTTTTAAATGGTTCCTTTATTTTTTTTTAGCACAATATTAAAGAATTGCTCACAACGTTGACACACTATGCCTACTATGTGAATTTCGTAAACATTATCTTTTCCTATCACAACAACTAAAGTTGCAAATTGTCTGAATAGAACATCTTTTTACAATTCACATTTCCTCGTAATTTCAGGTGGCTAGGTCGCACTGTATTCTATATCCACTTGTATAGCAAGTCGAAATAAGCAAGAGCCCGTATACACAATCATATGGAATTCAAAATACCTTTTTATTCATAATTATTTAACATTAATATGTTTAAATCAAAGATGTAAATGCAGGATCGAAGAGATGGGAGAAATGAAAACCATATTGAGTCATATTAACCTTCAAAACCAACGTTTCAATTTAATAATTATTTAATATATATATATATATATATATATATATATATATATGCATTTCCTTAAGAAAAAAAAAAGTCAACTAGCAATTAAATTATTTATAAACAAATTTACAATAGTTAACTTCAAATATCAATTTCCAAGAGAAACTCAAATATATATTTGCTGATTTACATCAGGTAAAAAAACCCGTCATGTCCTCGAACAATAGTTGAAGGCACAATATTTTTGACAAATATGGTCTTTTTAAGCACAGTAAGTGTTCCATTATGAAGCCATCATAACTTAACATGATTTTAAGTTTTTAAATGTGTTATACTTTGATTTTATTCTCATTTTATTTTTTATTGCATCGAAAATCGTTTCAAAATATCAAACCAAACTAAACCGAAATAGAAAAAATCAAACTGAACCAAAGTAATTCGATACACTTTTTCAAAACCTAAAATCGAAAAACCGAATATCCACCCCTACTGAATTCCCTGTTTGCCTACTTTCAATTTTTCAAATTATATTTCGTGTAGTAAAAGCCCCAAACTTGTGCTGAACAGAGCTAGGGTTCATCGTCTCCGGTTGGCAATTGCTATTTGCTACTGCTGCTGTTTTCTCCCCGTCGATATGGCCAGACATAGGTACTATTTCTCTCTTCTTCTTCTTCTTCTTCTTTTTTTCATGCAATATAGTTTTCGAAATTATGAAGAAGAAACAATAGAGTAAAAAGCTATTTTTTTTCAGGGGTAAAAATATGATGAAAAAACAGATTAGGGCTTGGAATGGGAGGAATTTTATGATATTTGGATTTTTTATGGCATGCGTCGCTGGAATTCTTATCAATCTTAAGGTAGATAAGTCTAAACCTGAATTTAAACCTGAATCTAAGTTGATGGAAAAACTATTAAGAGATGTAAATTCTCTTAAAAAAAAGACAATGTCGATTCCAACTCCAACTCAAAATTGTCACTTTGCTACGTCGCAAGGAAGAAGGTCATACCAGGAGGATCGAGTAACATGTGACCTAAATTTTACGATTCCTCTGTCTGGTAATGTTTAATTAGCTTGAATTTATAATATGCATACATATACCATGCACCTCCAAACACACACTTGTTGTATGAACTTTGACATATTAGACTATGATGATGTAGGGGGCGGCGACATTGAAGAGGTGAGGATTGGGGCTGTGGCAGTATTTGATGGTCATATTGGATCCTCTGCTAGTAATATGGCCGCAAGGATATTTTTGGACAAGTTTATTGTTAACCTCAATAACAACAGTATTGAACAATCTTCTGACTTGAAGGAAATACTAAAATCTTCTTTAGTAACAACCATTAATGATATTGATGCAGAATTCACCAAGGCAAGGACAATACTAGTGATATTTTTTTCTTTTTGTTTAACTTCTTAATGACTTGGTTGTTCACATTCTTTAGGTTGCTTTCGAATATCATCTTTATGCGGGTTCTACTGCTGTTGTTTCCCTCATATATAACAATCATGTTTTAGTTGCAAATGTTGGTGATTCAAAGGCTTTTCTTTGCTATCAGAAAGAAATATCTCATGAAAACGGTGAGGGTGATATTTTCTTCTCTTTTGTTGTTATGCCCTTCTGTTATTACGAGTTTGATACTTCCTCTGTTTTCCTTTTCATAATGATGTTTGTAAATTTTTTGAACGAAATTTTTAAGTTTCCCTTGAAAGATAGTAACACCCCAATTAGGATTATATGGAGAAGCAAGCCATGGGTTCAGATCCTACCACAAAGAAAAACTTGGTAGTTAAGTGGAGAAGGATAAAGTGGTCGACCTATTATTCACCTAGCTTCGAACTTTGCATCATTGGCCTAGTAGTAGTATTGTCATCCTCGGGGATCAGTTGATACTGTACGTTA